TCTATGAAATTAATAAACTATAAGCAACAAATTTTTAAGTAAAAAAAATACTATTTGTTTAAGCTGAGATTTTTTTTTATTATTCTAGTTAAATAAAATTTAAAATCAAAAATTTTTTTTTATCCTAGTTAGATAATAAAACTAAATAGTTTCTGAATCATATTAAGCTTCAATTTTTTGATTATAATTAAAAATATATTTTTTAGAAGTTATTGAAAAACATCATAATTAATAAAGTGTTTTACTTACCTGTAATACTCTCTTACTATTATAAGATAAAAATATTATTGATAAATTTGTTTTTTTTATAATAGAAGATGTTTATTGGTAAAAAATTTTTAATTAGATATAGATATTATGCTAAAATAACATACCCCAGTTACTACTAGGTTATATAAAAACTTGATATTTATTATAAATTACCTGTCTATTACAGAATAAATATATAATTATTGTTCAAAGAAAGTTGTAACTAAGTATGATACTGAAAGTAAAAGTTTCTATTAAATATTAAGTTTTCTTAGATAATATATGAAAAAGAAATTGAAATTAAAATGAATAAGTTTTTTAAATAATTAGAAAAAAAAAGATATTTCAATTGAATATTTGTTTATTGAAAAAAAGTCTTAAGAAATAAATTTTTAGGAAAAGCTAGAGAATTCAATTTTTATTTTTTACTTTTTATTTTTTGTAATAAATTTGCACATTTTTAGATATTCACCTTTTTCTTTTTTTTTAACTTATTTTTTATAGTTTCCTATATTCAAATAGCTTGATAAAATATTTGATAATAATAATCTGTTGGCAATAAAGTAGTGGACTAGAAGAATATTTTTTCAAAGACTATTATGAAATGAAATATTTTTTCCAAGATCTAACTTAAAAACTATTATTGCCTATGACGAGTTTGTTAGATTTAATAGTAATGTTTAGTTATAGCATGTATCATATTACTCAAGTAAAAAAAAAGAAAAAAAATTATTCCTTAAAAAAAAAATTTTTTTTTTTGATATATTAAAAAATCTAGTTTTATAAATATAATTTAAGTTTTTTTTTTAGCTATTTGATAATAATTTAATTATATAATTTTAATCAATAAAACATGAAACATATAGTATTATTATATAATATATTAATTTTATTTATCAATTTTTTATATTTAATTAAACAATTGAAAATTAAAAATTTTATTAATATTGTAAATGCTGGTTAAAGAATAAGCATTAAAAAATAATGTATTTAATAGCAATTTTTAAAACATGTAATCTTATTAGGTTTCCAAAATCATTGCATTGTAAATTAGGTAAAAACTAAATAAATAACTGTTCGTATTTTTTATCAAAAAGTTATATACTTGCTATAACTTTACTTTTTATTATCTTGTAACTTTGAACGCTTTTTCATCAATTAAGTCTTTATAATCAAGTATATAAATTCCCGGTGATCGGGTTGCATTTAAACAAACTCCTTCAATGATACCTAATGCATAAGTCAAACATTAAACATTAGTCTAATTAATCTCAATGGTGAATGGAGGGAATATAGATTAATATACTTTTAGTGGATGCTTTTGGTGCATTTACTCTTCCGAGTTCATTTATCTCTTTTAACAAGACCTTCATGTTTTCTACATTTATTATTTAACCTTAGAATAATAATCGTGGTCAACGTAATACTAGAATATTTGTTCGTTACAATTTACCTTTCAACTCATTAATAGTCCATGATAACTAATGTCGAGAATTTTATATAGTTACTAATTATTAATGTCACTACCTCGATGATATAAAAGAAGTCTTGATTTTACATACCTTACCGATTCCTAAATTAACGAATTAAAGCGACTTCAAATTCTAAAACAATGAATTAAACTCAGTGAACTTACCTGCATGAATAATTCCTGATCTATCGTTTCTGAATTCAAATTTCCCGGTCATCTCCTTAATCGTGCCGGCAATATCATCAGTCACGGTACCTTTCTTTATCGTTGGCATTAGTTGTCTCGGGCCCAATATTTTCGCAATCTTTAAAACCGATGGCAACATGTCTGTCGTGGAGATGCACCTATCGATTTCACCGAATTTGAATGTGCCTTCCAATATCTATGTTAAGAAAAATATTTACAACTATTTCGAATAATTGTACAAGATCAATCTCACTCATTAAATTTATAATTACATCTGTAACGATCTCTTCACCTCCAACTATTTGTGCACCAGCTGCTAAAGCTTCTTGCACTTTTGGGCCCTTATTTATATTTGCATAATTCCTTATTTCTTTTCTTTTTTTTAATATAATTTTTTA